CAACTCAGCAAGAAATAAATAGTGTAGCCTTGAATCTTTTGTCTTTGTTTTTTTCACAGTGAGTAGAACATGACACAATACCTACTTTTTTTTTTTAAAGAGTTTTTTTTTTTTTTAATTGACAGAAATACAGGGAGGAGAGACAGATCTTCTGTCCACTGGTTCACTCCCCAAGTGGCTAAAAAGGCCGAAGGTGGGCTAAACTGAAGCCAGGAGCTTCTTCCAGGCCTCCCAAGTGTGTGCAGGAACCCAAGGCTTTGGGCCATCCTTGACTGCTTTCCCAGCCCACAAACAGGGAACTGGATGGGAAATAGAGCCACTAGGATAAGAATCGGTGCCTACATGGAGTCCTGATGGATGCTAGGCAAAGATTTAGCTACTAAGCTAGTGCACTGGGCCCCAACAGTTACCTTTTTAATATTATAAGTGAAATATTATGCTGTAATTTGTTGGAAAGCTGACTCTTTTGTTTTACTTTTCAGTTGTATTCATTTGTGTCAGGTGGATGAAAATCTTGTACCTAGAGATTAATTTGGAGGCTAGGAGCCAGATGTTATCCAGACTTCTTTCTTGGACTTTTCCTTGCTGTTACTGTGACTTATTGAACATGCTTTTTATCACTGCGTTTATCTAAATTTTTAAGCTATCTACCTATATAACAGTTAGTTATGTTAAACTGAGAACTTTTTGAGGCCAGGGCTATAGCTGTTTTAATACTCTTAGTGTCCAGGAACAGTGATCAACACATTGCTAGTACTAAATGAATGCATGTTGAATTTAAGTCAAGTTTGTTTATTTCTTGATTCTCATATTTATTATTATTTAGTTTTAAAGATTTAGTACTAATTTTTGCTACCTGATAAGTTTATATTGATGGAAGAAGTCTTGATTATTATGTCTGGCTGTGGGGCTGTACTTGGGCCAAATCACAAAGATAGGTACTAAGGTTAACTCTGTAGCTTACTGAGAACTAAGAGTTACTCCCATTCACTTTGTCCACTTCTGATAGTTTATTGATCTCCTATTAAATTTTTAAGCACTTAAAACTTAACTGCATTTACTTCATCAGTGTTTTGAAGATGCTATTGCTTATTTTACACATGCATAAATTGAAGTTCCAGGGAATTAGTTTTCTAGTCTTATACTTAGTAGGTATTTGACGCTAATACTGTGATAATCCCCTGGTTTCTTTATCATCTCCTGTCCTAACCTGTCTATCACTAATTCATACACCATAAAAATTTCTAAATAGCTGAAACAGAGATGAACTGTGGAGAATTTATAGGCCTAAGTAGGAAAATATAGCTGAATCGTAACTCCTCAACCCAGGTTAAGGCATATATGATTTATCTGATAAATGAATGATCTGCCCTTCTCTCAATTCTTCCAAAGATAGTATACTAGTACTGTTGTATGTGCATAGTATGTTAGATAATTCATTATATTGATGAAGGTTTTAGGTCATTAGAGCTTAATGCTTTTTTGGAATCCTGTTTGAGAAGAACGGATAGATTGTCATCTTTTCAGAAGACTTTGTCACTCGGGTAGTGTAATTGTTTAAAATTTCAAAACAGACATACATGAAAAAAAACTCTTTGTGTCCATGAGATAATATTTCAGTGACTTTTTGATACCTGAATATCATTCACATAGTAAGTCTATTTACTAACAAATTTGTTCTAGAAATTACCTGAGCATTGATATTTTCAGTTGGCAAATATAAAAATTATCTTATTTTTGACTTTTAATTATCACGCTACTCAAAAAGTGGGATTTCTGAGAAATTTCAGCAGTGACTGTGCTACAGTTTTGTATTTTTCAAAGAAATGTAATTAACATGGCTTGAGTGATGTTCAGAGACATTAAGGAAATTGCCTAGTATTTAGAGTTGTTTGGTAATACAGTGTAGACTTCCATTCAAGTCTGTTGACCTCATATCACTTTGCACGAGGGTGTTCTTTCCCCTGGATAACAGTACAGATATAATATTGGCAGAAACCTTTCTGTCTTCTCATCTGAAGACTAGTGTCATGGGTTGGGAACCACTGGGTGGAAAAAAACACACACAGTGACAGTAACATCAGCATCCCAAACTACCTGGTAAAAATACCGGTTTGTAATCTGCTGTAGTGCAAAAAAAAAAAAAAAAAAGAATCACTTCTGAATGCCCATGAGCGGAGTGAGCAATTCCTGAACAGAGTTTTGCATCTCTATTTGTGATGAGAGGAAGCAGTCATGTTGAAAGCTACAAGACCTTTCTGAGACACGTATCCATGCAAATTTACTGCTTGAAGTACATTCGATGTACTTCTGGTCTCTGGATCCTCCACACCCTGAAGATATAGAGCAGCGGAACTGCTTGTTTTTTTTTTTTTTTTTTTTTTTTAATGCAGAGTGGTTTTAAGAGGCCATTATGTTTAGTTTGTGTTGATGGCTCCGTCCATCCCTGTTTCAAATTGAATGTGACTGATCATAGGGCAGCTCAATTTTCAGTTCTGTAGGACTCTCCATGTTGATCTCCATAGTGGTTGTACCAGCCTATACTCCCACCAACAGTGAAGGAGGGTACCTTTCTTCTACATCCAGGGCAGCAAGTGTTGTTAGTGCTGAGTTCTGAATGTAGGCCAACCTCACCTGAATGCAGTTTTTGGTATTTCCTTGTCAGCTTGGGCGCCTGAGCATTTTTCCCCATGTCCATTAGCCAATTGAATTTGTTCTTTTGAAAAAAATCTCTGTTTATTTACTCTGTCCATTTATTTACAAGATTATTTATTTTGCTGTCATTGAGTTTCTGAAGCTCTTTGTAAATCCTAGATATTAGTGCCCTGTCGGTTGTGTAGTGTGCAAGGATTTCCTCCCATTCTGATGGTTGCTTCATTTTAATCATTTCTTTTGAGAATCTTCATGTCTGTGTTCATCAAGGGTATCGGTCTGTAGCTCTCTTTCACTTTTGTGTCTCTATCTGACTTTGGTAGTAAGGTGATATTGGCTTCATAGAAAGAGTGTGGAAGGTTTGCTTCTGTTTCTGTTCTTTGGAATAGCTCATGCAGGTTTGGGGTAAGTTCTTGAAACATTTGATAGAATTTTGCAGCAAAGCCTGACTGATAGCATCATTTGGTTCAGGAAGGTCTTTGATATTCTTTTTCATTTTTATCAGTGACACACTGATCATTCAGTAGCATGTTACTTAACTTCATGTTGTTCTAAGTTTTCTAGTTTTCTCTCTGCTGTTGATTTTGTTGTATGACTTTTCATTTAAGGGGATGTATAGTAACTGGGTAGTAGAGACTATCACATACTGATGTAAAGAAACAATGCAGTGTGCATCTCTACTTCCAAATTAAAGGTGGACTGTCAATGAAACTGTTGAATGTATCTTAATAATAGGATACTGGACTCTCTGCCGTTGTCTATGCCCGCAATGTCAGTACATACTTTAATAGCAGAATGATGAGACTTATGACATTATATAGTGACATGGGGGAAATTAGTGTGTGTGGAGTATGCTAATTTGAGGAGGGAGGAAGGGAAATCCCAGAGCCTATGGAATTGTATCATGGAATAATAAAAATCAATACATTAATTAAAATTGAATGTGACTAAAGATTTTTTCTTTTAGCACTTCTCACTACTTTACCAGTTTAGTTTTGAAAATAAATTCCCAGAAAAATTCAACCATTTCTTTAACAAGAAGAATCAAATTTGGTTTTAAAGATTTTTGTACTCCTTGGAAACGTGTTCAGTAAAGCTAAACTATCAGTGGCATCATGGCACTCCCTCTTTATCCTTAATTAAGGTTCATTAAGAACTCTGGATAGGCAAAGGCAGCGATAGAGGTCTGACTGGTCGCTATAACCTTGCGATATTTTTTTGAATTCTGTGTCAACAACATGAGCTCAAGCTGGTAACCTGAACACTCAAAGAAGAAAACTTTTGTAAAGAGTTTATTAGTGAGCTCCTGCCCTTGTTTTTCAGTCCCTTACTTTCCTTGTTCTTACTTCAGTTTCCATAACAACCCACCTCCCAGGAACAACTGGGGTTAATAATAAGGAGCATGTTTCCCTTTGCTTCTTATGTTTGTTTTTCAGGGAAATTGCATTTGCTGACATACTGTCATCTACTCGACTGCTGATTGAATTTTAGTTTCCAAGCATTACAAACTCTTCAATGCTTAATACAATAATAATATTTTAAGTTTTGATAGTTGTTACTCTTGTATCAATATGTTAAAACAGTACATATTTTTTTAATTTAGAAAGTAGCAAAAATATAAGCTTTCTTTAACTTCAGCCAGTATTCTGAAAGAAGACAAATGTTGTTATGTGTTATTGATGTGAGGAATTGTTATAGAAAATGATTTCTATAGTGCTTTATTTGGAAAACAATTTCAGAAACTACGCACTTTCCAGCTAGTTTGTCAGTTCGTTACTAGACCCAGCTAGGATCACTCTCCCTGGTAGGTTGATTATGACTTCAGTATTCCCAATTCTGTTGACATCAAACATCTACTGTTTCTCATGTGTACGGAAGCTCGTACATGGGAGCATGGACATTTCCTGGTGGATATGTTTATTGCCTGGATTGTGGTACTGATACCACAGATATATACCCAGATCCAAGCTCACAAAATTGTATATGTTAATGATAGATGGCTTTGGTATGCCAATGATATACCAAACAAAGATGGAAAAAATAAATATAACGAGTTTTTCAAATATTAATCTATTTTGTGAATTCTTTTTGGTTTTCTACACGGATTGATTGTTTGGACAGGTAGAGTTTTCTTCATTCTATTTAGTTTTTATTTCTAGCCTTTCTTGTTCTTGTTACTTTACTTTGTTGTGCTGGCTACAGCTTTCTAGTATAATGATGACTACAAGCAGTGAAAGCAGAGTTGATAGTGACAATCTTGTCTTATTGCCAAATGTAAGGGAAAAGGAAAGTCTGATGTTAGCTATAAGTCTTTTGTTTTTTTAAGTATTCTTTAAAACATTGAGGAAGTATTCACTTCGACAGCACATATACTAAAAAATTGGAACGATACAGAGAAAATTAGCACAGTCCCTGCACAAGGATGACACGCAAATGCATGGAAAAAAAAAACCAGAAATAGAACAGTAAACTTACTTCGAGACTTGGAAGGGGAGCTTTCTCTGGTCCTTGCTTAGTTCCAACTTTGGATCCCCACCCTCTCTTGCAATGACTATCAGGGTCGCGCTGGATCCCCCTACTCCCCCTGGTTAGATAAGATAGACAGAGACCAATAAGGAAAGCTTAGAACCAGACAGGAAACAGTCAGCTTGGACTCACATAGACTTTACTAGGTAGGACACAAAGATTAATTACTCCTAACTAAGGGATTGAAGATTTTTCTGCACACCCTTCCTAAAACTGTTCTGTGCCTCAATTGTTAACATATGCCTTGTTAGAGCTATAAGCCTGTTTGATCTTATTTTTGTTGTAGTTGATAATTGGATATCTTGGCATATTGAAACAAGTCTGTATTTCAAATTTTCTCCTGCTGTTTGATTTTTCTGCTTTCATTTATTTCTTTAGTAAGTTGTCTAATTCTGTGGAGTCAATCTCTCTATTTGTAGTTGTTGCCTCTGTTAAGTGACACATTAATTTTTTGCTTGTATTTTAGTTTTGATTTTTGTTTTCCTTTGTGGTCACTCTTGAATCAATCTGTCCTGTGTTTTCCAATTATTGATCTGAGTCTGGGTTCCAACATTTCACGCTAGTAATACTTCTGTTCTTTGCCAGTATGAGTATGTGTGTGTGTGTGTGTGTGTGTGTGTGTCTGCGTCTGTGTGTGTGTCTGTGTGAGGAATTTGGGGAATGCATTCAGAGCTCTGTGAGTTCATAATTTCTCTTGGTGTTTGCTTTCCGCTCACCCATCTTGTTTCACCTTTGCATATGCACATGAACTTGATCCAGCTACGGATGCATGATTTGCTCTTCAGTTTCAATCTGTTATGCCACAAGTGGATGACCAGAGATATATAACTGCTTATCAGGTCCCAAATATTTCATGCATCACCCTGTCATTGAATTTACAGATCGTCTGCAGTTTTTTGCTAGACAAAATAAGGATCACTCTCCTCCCACAAGGCTAGCTGTAACTTCAATCTTCTCTATTCTGTTTGTATCAAGATGGTTACTGTTTCTAACATAATATGGCGTTTTCTGATCTTTGTTCCAAATCATTACACCCTCCCCTCTTAGACAACGAGCTGTTGACGACACACTTTACCCTGGAAAACGTGGAGGCTGAGAGTGTTGAGAGTGTCCGAGACATCTTCATGCTCTCTGCCCCTCCTCCCAACCTTCATCCTTATTAATCAAGGTTTCATATTTTTTTCTAAGCACATCTCAATTTTTTGTGTCATTGATCCATTTTTAAAGACAGTTTCCTTTGGTACATTCTAGAATCCTGAAATCTTAGCATTTGATGTTTTTTGAGAAGACTGAGTTCTTTATTCTATCATTAAGAAAGTTTTACATATTCCAAGTACCTTTTTTACAGTTCTTCTAAGAGGTATAAAAATAAGGTCACAGATTGTTGAGAGTTTTTTTTCAGACTTCTTTCATTAAACACAGTTGAATTGTTTTCTATGTATTTGATACATATTGTCTAATAAAAATTTACACTTGTTAATCAGGTGAGGTTCTGTTGGTTTGGTATTTGTTTCTCCTTCTGCAGTGCACCTTCAGAGGGAGAAGCATTACTCGGAACCATTGCATTGCATGTGAACCATTGCTCTGTTCTCATGCACTGTCTTTTTGAGATATGGAGTTTGTGAAGTGAAAGCTTCTAGAGGTTCTCTTTTTCCTTTGGTTCTTCTCTTTATCTCTGGTTACTTTTAGGAATGAGTTCTCAACATTTTTTTTTTTTTCTGTTTAAACTATACCATCTGTATTCAGTGGTTTCTCTTATATGTTTCTTCTTTTCTGTTCATGTTCTCCTCTTGCAGCAAGATAATATTGCTTTAGTCTACGGCCATACCACGCTGAACGCGCCTAATCTCTTCTGATCTCGGAAGCTAAGCAGGGTCGGGCCTGGTTATTACTTGGATGGGAGATAATATTACTTAAAAAAATGTACTTAAGTCTTTACAAATCTCTTAGTCAAAGTGAAAGAGAAAATGGAAGTTGAGCTTAGGAAATGTGGACTCTGTCTTAGAAATGTGGACTCTGTCTTGGTTCATCTGCTAAATGAACGGACAGGGGTGCTTCAATCCTAGAGTCACCCGACTCTTCAACTCTGAATCTGTGAGTTTAAGTTTTATTGTCAGCCATATCGTTTTGCATATTTAATCATATACATTGAAATCCAATGTATATATGTATGCAGTAAGCAGGATTTGTGTATATCAATCATATTTATCACTTAATAAGATTCTGCTGAGAGGTGAGAGAATTTTGAGTTGAAATAAACACCTTTTCCTTTTCCATGCCATGTTCTCGAATACAAATAAATTTTTGAGGTGATTAGATTCTAACAGCTTCCTTTTCTTAGAGGAAGGGAACATGGAGAAGTTAATGGGATGGCAGACAAGGCCTCAAAGGAGGTAATTGTGAAAGCTAAAAACGGGATTTCAAAAATAGCCTACTTAATACTCTCCTTTGCTGCTGCCTCAGCTTTTTTCTCTTTTTAGGAATGCATTAATACAGCTTGATTTGTGCTAATTATTCGATTTGTATTAAACATCAGTGTAAATATTGAGATGGAAAAAATTTGCAAAAAATTATTGCAAATACATAAACCTAACGTGCTTTGTTTCTAAGGGAGGCGTTGTACTACTTCAGCAACCATGCTAAAGTACACATGGCTAATTAACGTTAAGTATATGTGATCTTTTGTAAGTGTATGTAATTCTTATTTGAAAAATATTTTTTCAAGTTTTAATTTGAGAGGGAATGAGAAAGATAAAAAGAGAAGGAGAGGGGTTGTGGAGAGAACCAAGAGAGTGAGAGGGAGAGAGAGCAGAAAAGAGCTAGAGAATTCTCCTCTGCTGTTTCACTCTGCAAGGCTCGAGATTCAGGAACTCAGTTCAGGTTTTTCTTGTGGGAGGGGCAGGGAACCAACCTCTTGAGCCATCTTCTCACTTTCAAGGTGCGCCATTCCAGGATGGTGGAGGAGAGATAGAGCTGGGATTTGAACCCCATGATATGAGATGAGATGCAGAGGTCTCAATTCACATCTAAATCACTGTGGCAAGTACTTGCCCCTTTAAAATTATTCTCAAAGAAATATGGATTTTTTTTTTAATTCACTGCCATAGAGGACAGACTTTATTCATTTTCAATCACTTTTTGGTTGGGATTTAGAATTAATCTTAACTTTGCCTTACCCAAATAATAACAATATTTTACTGAACATTTAGTATGTGGTAGACCTCAGGCTAAGTACTTTACAAAGAACATATTGACTTACGTTGTGAAGGGTAAACTAGGCCGAAAGATGTGACTCAGGCAGATGAAGCATTATTGGTGATCGAAACAGTTTCAAAGGTATAACTTTTTTCTAAAGCATTTGTACTTTTAATTTTCAATTGTCATTCTTCCTTGTTTACCACCCATACTGGCTGTGCTAAGGGATATTTGTGATTGTTGACCATCTTACTGACTTTGTCTTTTGTTCTGCATCTGTTAATTTTGGGTCCTTTCTCCTCTATACTCTGAGTTTCTGTAAGTTATTCTATTCTTGGTCCATCTTTCCTACCATAAGTGGGTCGTGGACTTCATTGAACTTTCATTGAGGGATATTGGGATCAGGTACATACAATTTCACCTTTGTATAGAGTTAATCTAAGAAACCTGATGTTAGTGAAGGCGTGAGGGACATGATGCCGCTGTTGGAACCCCTCCAGCATCCCTGTCTGTGGCATGTCCCTTCATCCCCTGCACTTCCCAGTGAAGAGACATGATGCTCCTGTCAGTGCTTATGTCAGCCGCAGTTGAGTTTGTGACATTTGAAATGAAACAGTCCTATTTGAGAATCTGGAATGCATTCTAACTGTTAGGCTTGAAGAGTATGTGAAGGCTGTCTCTGGAGCCCTCAGTGCCTTTAATACTGGCTGCTTGGTGAGTGCATGGCTGTTACAAGTGATTGGTCCCAGCTTCTCACTCTGGAGCCCCTGCTTCCCTAGAGGAATGGGGACCATTTGCCCTCTCATTCAGGTGTGTAGCATTTGTACTGGCTCTGCAGAGATGCTGAGTCATCTCACAAAGTAGAGAGCGAAATCTGGGGAGAAAAGAGGTGAATAACTTCGACATGATAAGCCCTACTTAAGGTTACATTTAGTGTGATGTGCTAAGGCTTCTGTTCCTGGTGTTGAATATTCATGTTCAGTGAGGAGTCCCAGAGGCTCACTACAGTGTCATTTTCTGCAGTTTCAGAATGAAGGGAAACGTGCTTTCTGCTGATGTGTCTGTGAAGTGATGAAGGTGAGCTTGTGAATCCTTTTAACCATTTAAGTTCTGATGCAAAAATATTTAACAAGAAGTCTCAAATTTCAGAAAATATTAAGATACTATAAGGGATTTTACTTAACTCCTCATAAATTCCTATGTTTTTAAAGATTTATTTATTTTTATTGGAAAGTCAGATATGCAGAGAGGAGGAGAGACAGAGGGAAAGATCTTCCATCCGATGATTCACTCCCCAAGTGACTGCAATGGCAGGAGCTGAGCCAATTTGAAGTCAGGAACCAGAATCTCTTCTGGAGCTCCCACGTGGGTGCAGGGTCCCAAGGCTTTGGGCGTCCTTGACTGCCTTCCCAGGCCGTGAGCAGGGAGCTGGATGGGAAGTGGAGCTGCCGGTATTAGAACCGGCACCCATATGGGTTCCCAGCGCTTGCAAGGTGAAGACTTTAACCACTACGCTATCGCACCAGGCCCATAAATTCCTGTTTTTAAATGAGGGCACTTGAAGGGCAACAAAACACCAGTAACTCTGATGTTTAAATTAACACACGCACTTCACATTCAAAATGCATGTATTATTTCAGTTACTAATGTTTTGGTTGACTTCAAATTCTTTCAAATTACATTTGTAATTTGCAGCTACTCTCATGGCTCTAATACAGTAGTGCAAAATATTGTGG